AGCTTCGGCAGAAGGGATGCCAAGGGCAGATTTGTCCAGTCCCCCCCCCCAAAAAAAAAAGCGAAAAAGGAGATTAACTCGTCAGACAAGTTGCCAAAGTGGCCGAACATCGAACGCATCCCTCCAAAAGTGGTAGGTGAGTCCGTGTGGAAGCATGCCAAGCTTGTCAAATGTGGCCGAACATCGCGAAGCTTGACTGAGATAGGGAAAGAGGTTTAGATTTCAGCGCATGTCCTGACACGCCAGTCCCGTGCGGGTGGATGGAAGGATGGACACCGGACAACCGACCTTGCAGTTCCTAAAATTGGGATCCGAGTGCAGCATGGTTCCCAGGCATCCGATTCCTCAGATAGTTTTTTTTTTTTTTGATTTGGTTGCGTGGTAGTTCCATCTAACCCACTAAAAAGTAAAACTTTTCGCAGGGGATCTGAGGACAGCTCTTCATGATTTGTGGGGAGGGTAGTCCTTTTCAGACCTTCCACAGTCAAGAATGGATCAATCCCTCAGCCATTCCGCTCTCAGGATGGGCAAGCGCTTTCGCCGCAGAGGCAGCGATTGGCCTTGGTATTTGTGCGCCGGTTGCACGTAGCTGTTCCGGTCTGCCCCACATATTCATGAGAACTGATAGGAGGGTGTTGGAAAACGGTTTTCCTCCCGCTTGGGGACCCCCCCTGTCCACACATTCATGAAAACTGATAGGAGGGTGTTGGACAACGGTTTTCCTATTGGGGAATCCCCCCCCTCCCCCCCGTCCACAGGCTGGCAGAAAGTTTGCCAACTTTCACTTCGTGGCAAGCTCAAGCTTGAGCCATCGGTCAGTTTGCAACCAAGAAGTCTCTCTGGGCTCCGAAAAGATGCTAACAGTCTAGGGCTTGGTTCCCAGTTTTCTCAACCACCGTTCTTTTCAAAAACCAGCTGCTTCCCCGGGTTTTTGGATGGTTTCCTGCAAAGGATCCCTTGAAAGAGTGGAAGGCCCCAGAAACAGGTGAAAAATGACTCCAGTCCCCTATCCCGTCCCACCCGGCCTGAAGGTCTTGGAATTTTGGCCGGAGCGTTCGACGATTCGACGCGAGCGAACGGAGCCGAGGTACTACATCCTTTGGGCTGCTTGGATTTGTCTGGCCAGGGATTCAGAAGATGACCGTGACTGACCTCAAACATGATTAGGACATTCCTCAGGGTCCCAGAGCCTGCTATTTGAGGTCTTTTGGGGTCAATGGCCCTATGTATGATCTTGGGATCCTGGGGCATCGACATGTTCACATTGTTTTGTGTCTTGTTCATTTTCGGGGGGGGAGGGGGGCAGAACCAACGCGCCTGCCGTGCCAACGCCGCTTTTGGCTTGCAGGTTTACTTGCTGCTTGGCTTTGGCTTGGTGATCTCGCTGGTGTCGACCGTCCGCGACGTCATGCTCGCATCAGGCATTCAGAAGATCCCCCCCCACCCAGGCCTTGCCTAGTCTCCTCCCCGAGTGTATTTGAGGGGAGAAGCTAGAGGAAAACGAGAACCATTTGTGGGGTCTCCCTATTTTGATTCCTACCCAAACTGGGCCATCGGCCTCAAACACGCGGTCTTTTGGGGGAGGGGGACCTGTTTTTGGCGGAAAAAGGGGGGGGGGTGCAACCCATGCCCTTTCCAGCGGCAGGCTGGCTGCAGCCAGAGCTGGTCACCGACTACGTGCGGAAACGGATGCACTTGGAAAACGACACCTTGAGCTTCGAAGAGTGGCAGGAGGACACTTAGGGGTAAGGCCAACCGGGCGAAACGGGGGTTCCAGCCGTCCGGTTCCTGTTTTTAGTTGTGTTGAGGTGGTTAAGTGGGGAAATCATTCGAAAAGTGAAACTTCTAGCAGGGGATCTGAGGACAGCCCAGTTTACTTGCGTTTTGGATGGTTCTTGTGGATACGTGGGGAACCACCCCGGAACATTCACCATGCCGGAACTTCCTGCGACAGCTGTCGCTGGGCATCGCATCACTATCCCCGGCCTCATTTCATCACGTCGCATATGCGGCATATGGCCTAGGCTTGGAGCTGAACACCACTCTTGGTTTTCGGTTGCTTCGGGCCTGGTGGTTTGCCTCTCCGATTTAATTGAGTGAGTTTTGTGGGCTGGGCGTGGCTTTCCACAGCAGACCAGCAACCTGATATCAAGTCCAAGCCCAAAGATCGTAGTGATATCAGCTCACAACGAAATGAGCCCTAAACCACGTCAATACCACAGATGCCATCAGTCATGGACCCCTCGTAGCGGGCTATGGGGGGGCTACAAGCCAAGGAGAAGCCAAAGAAAAGCCCTTGAAGAAGCCCGTAAGGGGTTAGTAAGGGGAGGTACGCACCCAAAGATAAGCCCTTGAAAGAGCCCTTGAATAAGCCTTTGAAGAAGCCCTGTGAAGGCCTCGATTGGGCTAACGAGAGCCCAACGAGCGCCAAGCAAATGGGGGGCATTTCGGTACAAGGATGGTTCGTCCTTTTGTTTGGTACCCTTTTTGCGTGGTTTTAGAGGAAAACCAAAGGGACAATCAGAGTTTTGCGGGGTGTGCAGCCTTGAAAAAGAGCAAATCCATATGCCCTATGCCCTTCCTTTGCAACATGCCAATTTTTTGCTCAGGAGGATGACCTCAGCGAGTACAGCTACCTCCGGAGGGTCTCCCTGGTCTGCCCCTTTTTCATGGTTGCAGCTTGGCCACCACAACTCGGGGCACCCGAACCCCGGCAATGGATTGGGTTTCTGGTGGGTTCGCTCCAAGAAGAGCCCGGGAGGTTTCCGTTTGAACTGAGAGCCATCAATCGCATTGCTGTTTTGTTTCCTTTGGACCGAAAGTTTAGTCCATGTGGCTGTGGGTCAATACCAATGGTACCATTCTGGGGTAGGCGAATGCACCACTCATTTTAGAACCTATTTTAGTGGTTGGATTGCGATGTTCACTGGGGGATAACCGATTCGGATTTTGGCCCATGGCCATGTGTCCAGACATGTTCAAAGGGGCTGTTTCCTGACCGAAGCTTTCGGTCCGACGAGAAGACCTGTTCAACCCCCGGAAAAAAAGAATCGGGGCGAGCGGCAAAAACAGGCAAAAGCCACGCAGCACTTTCCGGGCATTTGGATTCTACTGTCTGGTAACTTAGTAAATGACGATTATAATAAGGCCAGTGTAGCCCTTCTGTAACGTTGGGTGCCAGGTTGGCAAGCAGCCCTGCATCGTTGGGTGCCAGGTTTGCAAGCTGCCTGCTCTGCAGTGCTGCAGGCAGGTGCATGCAGAGCGCAGGCAGGTTTGTTCATCATTTTGGAGGAAAGGTTCCACATGTTGTTTGGCCAGTCAACTCAGGCCAACCATGTGAGAACCGAACTTGAAACAGGTTTCGGCAGTCAGATGGAAGGGGGCAATGCACATCCGAGGCAACCTATCTGGTCTGTGCCTATCACACCATCCAGCACATGAAGAAGCTGAACTGGACAACTTCCAAGAGGCGCAGCAGTGTCTCGGGATTTTGGAGGTGTGTGGAGTTTCCTCCGTGCAGCGACCACAACAATAGCAGATACATTTGCGCTCATAGGTGTCCTTTTTGGTTGTTTTGGTAGAAAAAACAGATTAGCCTGGTTTACCTGGTGGTTTAATCATCTACCAGGGCCATCTATTCCTCCAGAAGGACACCTATGTTTGGGCTGCTAAAAGTAGCTTTTACCGTTTACCAGCAGATTTAGAGGATCCCTGTCAAGCACGTGGTTTTGGGATCTATCCTGTATGGAACCCTGTTTCCATCCTTTCCCATTTTTTGGAGGGGGAAACCCGCTTTATAACCAGCTTGGGACAAAAGGGTGGCCCTTGTCTTTGCACTCTTTTTCTTCAAGGGGGTACATTCGGGTTTGTCTCAATATGGGTACCCCCTCCCTCCCATTTTGGGGGTCATGTTTCTTTGGTTTCTCTTTAAGCCACACGCTAAACTTCCTCAAGAGGAGCCCTAGGGCCCCGATTACTTTGGGTCGGGTCAAGGTTTTGGTCTTGGGGAGGTACATTCAAATGTGTATGTTTGTAGGGAACCCCCTGCCCCCCCAAGAAAGAAGGAAGAACAAACATGATGGTTTTCCTAATGGTTTCCCCCTGAAAGCCACACAACAAGTGGTACCCTCAAAAAAGGAGGGTAGGGTTGACAAGGGACCCGGCGGAAACGGTCGAAATCGAAGAATCGCATAGTCGAAGAATCCAAGAATCGAAGAATCGAGGAATCGAAGAATCGAAGAATCGAGGCGCCTCCTTGTCAAGCCGGGTCTGCAAGAAAGACACCTCCAACTAACCCCCCTGACGTGCAGGGGGGATCCCTTGACGGAGCACACCTTTGACAACCACGACCGCGCCCTGCGGATCATCGCGCTGCCGTGCCTCTGAAGCAAAAACCGCGACCAAGGGCTAGCCCATGTGATCCAAATGGAGGTTCTCCACATGGTAGGCCGAATCGGATCCACCAACACCTTTAGTTCCCTACCGTGGATGGACGAAATCCATTTCGCACCACCTTGAAACCATGGGAAACCATTGTTTATTGGTATTTACACGGGAATCATCATTCCAGGTTTCTCAGGTGGTGCAGGATATCGTCCATCCACAGTATTTCAATTCAATTCGCCACATTGGAGCCATGGTCAAAGCTGGTTGTTTGCTTTTGGCTTGCCTTCAGAACCAGCCCAAAAGCGATGAAATGACATCCTGACAAAAAACAGACTGATAGTGTTGCTCAAATTCCGGACTCATAGGTTGTTTCTGTTGGCTTCCCTTCAAAACCAGCCATTTATGCCGGACCTGAGAAAAATGGTTCGGTGGACACAAATCCCAAGCTACCTGTGGGCTGCCTCGAACACCATAGAAGCGCCCAAGTACAGTCCGAGTCTGAGTCGAGATGTGCCGACGTCTGCCCTGAATGGTTTAGACCATGTGAATGCCGGGTTCGGCTCCCAAGAATTGGAGCCCTCAGAAATGCGGGTGTTGAAAGTAAATCAGCAGGAGTTTCCCTTGTTCCTTGTCTAGGTCCCCAGTAGTGTGCCCTTTGACCATTCTTTTGGGTAGGGTTCCCCTACTAAAATAGACAAACCAGAAAAAAGAGTTGGTACCAACTCATTCTAACCTCAAACTACTGGAGGACCAAGGGGTTTGAACGCCTTCCAGATCCACGAGAGCATTTCCTGCAGCTTCCGTTTCTTTGTTGGGCCTTGCGTTGGCCTCTGGGAGAGTTCGACCAAAACCCCTCTGGCTGGCACTAAAACTTGTCGTCTGGGAGTCCGGAGCACCTTGGGTGAAGCACCGGTAAGAGGATGTATGGATTTCAGGCGTGTCTTCTGTGAGGGTGCCCGTTGTTTTTTTTGGGTTGGGGCTTTAAAGGAAAACCAAAGGTCCCCTGAAAAACCAGATGTGTGTGTGTGTGTGTGTGTTTTTTTTGGGGGGGCTTTCAACCGGAAAACCAAAGGTCCCCTGACAAACAAGACACCCATCAATCCTGGGGGGTTTCCCCCAGCGGGTGGGGTGGGGGAAGAAAACAAAAAAAACAAAGCACGAAAAAAAAGCGGATCGAGCTGCAGGCTCTTTTACGGCGTGATGTCCTTCCAGGGCGTGATGCGGATGCGACTCGGAACGCACCGAGCGCACGGATAACCCATGGCGGTTGATGGCCCGTTGATGGCTCCTTAAAAGATAGGTTTTGTTTGCAACCATGTGAAACATGGTGTTTTCTCCAGCAAGATAAAGGGCACCCAGCATTTACAAGGCAATGTTCAGGTGTATAATGTAAGGATTTTTTGTGGCCCTTTGGAAAAAGAAGAACGAAGGGGCTATGGGTCAAAATTAATCCACCAGGAATTGGACCGCAGGTTTAGTCCACGTTTCCATTTACCGATCGGGCAAGCCATTTCGGGCACCTATTTCTGACCGACAGCCTTGTAAGCCGCCTTTTCAGTGACCAAACCCCGAGCTGACTTGTAATCTATCATGGTATTCAGGTTTTGCCCCAGCTGAAAGCTATGGGGTCTGCGGGCCCAGATGGGCTCCATCGGGGTTTGGAGCAGATGTCCAAAGCCATGTTTGGGGCTTCACCGCTTTTTTGACGATCCATTTTTTTCTGCAAGTTGCAGAGAGAAAGATGGCACCAAAACAACCGCAGGGGATCGTGCCTTCTACTTCCACCCTGTCAGGGAGTCGTAGTGGATCCCTTTCGTAGTCTCCTGCTCCCTCTGCGAGGAGGGCTCTAGGGATCGGGACGGGGGGTGGGTTCCAATGACTTTCGGAGGCAAAGTCCAGTTGATTCCACAGAAAAATCGAGATGTGTATCGATGCATGAATCACAAAGGCTCATCGCCTCAAGTCATTTCGAAAGAGCTGTAGCCCATGGTCCTATGGTTGTCAGCCTCCACCAATTCCCTCAATCTTAGGGTCAACAGCGACTGGTTGGTCCTGCCTTTCTTCCCCAGAATTAGTTCCCCTTTTTTTTGCTTTTTATTTTGCGTTTTGGGGTTCCCTTTGCTTTCCACTAACCAGGCTTTTTCTTTTTTTTTGCTGGGCTCCTCATTCCATCCCCCCTCTTTGGGGTGTTGTCAGCCGGCATGGACTTCCTGGATTGGTCGACGCTGCCCGCCATGGTGGCCGCTTACCCCTCGAACTTGAAGCAGATGGAGCCGCTGCTGAACCAGGCGCTGGATGGTCTGAGCTCGGAGATGTCGCAGTTGTGTTCGGCTGACCTCTGCATCCTTGGTGTCTTCAGCCTGGAACCTTTTTGGCCAGACATAGCTCTTTTTTTTTTCCCTTTTGTCTTTGCTAAAGTGCTGTTAGCACTTTCAGTTTTTGCCAACTAATGCCATCAAACCGCTAAATGTTATCACTTTTAGCAGAGCAGAAGGCAGCCGAGTTTGGGGCTTCCATCCTTTTCCCTTTGCCGGATCTCCGGGCCCAGGAACTGATGGCCATCTCGGGCATGCTGGCGCAGCAGTGGATGGAAAGGCAGCAGGCCACTGAGCTTTTGCAGGGCCACATGGCCGCCTTTGTGGGGGTCTTTCTTCCTTTTTTTTGGGGGGAAGGGTTCCCCTTGAAACTCAACAACGTTGTTGTTCTCTTTTTCCGTTTTTTTTTTTTTTTTTTTTTTTTTTTTTTTAAATAACACGCCCCCTTTTTTCTCAATGGACATCCACTGGACATCTGAGGCCACATGGCTGCCTTTGTGGGGGTCTTGAAGGACTATCTCCCGGTGAAGGCCACGAGTTTGTACGCGGACTTCGGCAGCAACCGCCGACCCGAGGAGCTGTCGCTGCCCGAGCTAGCGCAGCAGTTCCTGGGCCGGGTCCTCTATCAGCTGGCCGACCTGCCGTTGCCGCCGGGGCGAGAAGATGCGAGCTCCGCGCAGTTCGCCTTCGGCCGAAACCTGGCCAGAAGCCGGTGGTAGCTTTCTTTTTCTTCCTGGCCGGCCTTCTTCTTTTTTGTGCTTTGCAAACAGCCTGCTGGCGTTTTTTTGCAGGCGTCGGATCCGTCTGGTCAAGGTAATTGGCAGCAGTTCGTCCAGAACAGGCGGATCTCCAGCTCTGGTGTGCTGAGCTCCGTGCGAGAAGTGCGCAGGTTGGTGGGGGGAGCTGTGTCAAACCTGACAAACTTGCGCGTTCTGGATCTGGGATGTGGGTCTGGGCTCAGTTCCTTGGCGTTTCGCATGCTGGGCGCCCTCGTCCTCTCCGCCGACGTGCAGCAAGAATCCTTGGAGGCAGCCGAAGGCCTGCAGCGGACGTTTCAGCTGACGGAGGATTCGGGGTGGCGATTGGCGAAGGCCTCCGCTTTGGATGCGCGGGCTCTGGCGGGGCTCGGGCCTGTTGACATCGTGTATACCTGGGGTGTGCTGCACCATACTGGGGACGTTTGGCAAGCCATCCACAACGCGCAGCTGCCATTGGCAGATGATGGTCTGTTGCTGGTGGCCGTGTATGCTGAAGAGTTCTATGATGAAAGGGTCAACATCATCCGGATGAAAGACGCCTATCGCAACATGAGCATGAAGCAGCAGGAGCATCTTGACATCGCGGTGGGAATCTCTTGGCTGAGACCTCTGCTGAAAGCAGGCAAGAATCCGTTCGAAGTCATGCGCAACTTCTCGGAGATGCGGGGTATGGATTTTTGGACCGACGTCCGTGACTGGTTGGGTGGCTGGCCCACGGAATTCGTGAGCACGTCAGCCGTGTTGTCTTTCATTCGTTCAACAGGTCTGCGCTGTGTCGGTGTTCGCCGCAATGGTGGCAACACTGAATTCGCCTTCACGCGCCAGCAGGGGCTGGTGCGATGGACTGCAGAGCGCAGGTGTGAGTCACTGGAGAAGTTTGAGGAAGATGTGGAGGGGAAGTTTTTCTCGCTGCAGCAGAGACTGTACTACTGGCCTCCGGGTGAATCTTGTGAGCGGCGTTGGTGGTTTAGTCCTTTGCCGGAGTGGATGAGAGATCATTCAGATGGAGAAGCCAACCCGCAAAAGAATCGACTGCTGTTGATCACCAGGTCCGGGGAGCCCTTCGGCTATCCAGCTGCCCATTTTGCTCGCCCGGATTCCTTGCGCGATGTGCGCTTGTCCTTCTTTGCCTTCTGGGAGGGTCGGGCGTACATGTCCCCTGGACAGCGCGCGGGGAACGGAGGGATTCTCAAGACTTCGGGTCTGAAGGCATGCCTTCTACCGGTGGCGGAACTGTCGCGAGAGGAGGAGCAGGAGATTGTAGCAAGGGCCCAGCAAGCGGGGTTGAGCTGAAAAGGACTTTTTTTTTGCGAGTCTGCGGAGGGGAGGCAGTTTTCCACCGCTTGTTCCAAGTGAACTTGGCCATGACTGCGAGAGGTGATTCGTGGCTGTGGGGTTTCCTTCCTAAAATGACCAGATAGAGCCAGTTACGGACAATTGTGATCTCTGGAACAAGAGAAGGTTCACTTCACAGTTCTTGGCATGCGCTTGTTGGTTCTGTCCGTTTTTAGTGGCTGGCTGCAAAGCGCACAGCGTTTGCTCACATGCCAAGGATTGGACAGTTCAGTAATTTGCACATTGAGCCATGTAAGGTAATTCTTAGATGAACGGAAGGCTGTTTGATTGTTTACATTGTGGTTTACCATGAAGATCATCACTCCATACCTCTACCTCCAAGCTGCCAGCCGCAGATAAACAAGAAGGTCGTGGGGTTTCCTTACCAGCAACGCATGTAAATCTAAGATGGCAATTGAACCTTCGATTCGATAGGAAGGTGGAAAATTGAGAACATCATACTATTGGGGTATCCCATGGTCAAAAGTAACTTACATGTGCACATAAGACAAAGGAGTGATTTTCCGCTGGTTTCCCTTGAAACCAACCCCCTAAAACGAATACCATCAAAACAAAGAGACATACGCAAGCAACAAGCAGGCAAGCAAGCTAATAAGCAAACAGGCAGCCACGCAGCCACGCAGCCAATCACACAAACCCACAAACACACAAATGCACAAAGACAGAAACACTTACAAAGACACAAAGACAGACAAAGACGCAACTACACAAACGCACAACTACACACACAAACACACAAGCACACAAACACACAAGCACACAAGCACACACGCAAACACACAAACACACAAACACACAAACACACAAACACACAAACACACAAGCACACAAACTCACAAACGCACAAACACACAAACACACAAACACACAAACACACAAACACAAACACACCAACACACCAACACACCAACATACCAAGACGAACCTACAAACACACAAATGCACAAAGACAGACACACTTAAAAGGACACAAAGACAGACAAAGACACAACCACACAAACGCACAACTACACACGCAAACACACAAACACACAAACACACAAACACACAAACACACAAACACACAAACACACACAAACACACAAACACACAATCACACAACCACACAAACACACAAGCACAAACACACAAACACAAACACACCAACACACCAACATACCAACACATCAACACACCAACACACCAACACACCAACACGAACACGCAAACACACAACCACGCAATACACAGACACACACACAACGTACAAACACACCAACACACCAACACACAAACATGAAAACACACAAGCACGCAAACAAAAAGATACACAAAGACGCACACACACACACACAGACACAACCACACAGACGAACAGTACACAACCACACAAACACACAAACACACACACACACAAACACAATAGCACGCCAACAGACACATGCAAAGACACAAGCACGCAAACACAAACACACAAACACACAACGACACACAAAGACCCACAAGGACCCACAAAGACCCACAAAGACACACAAAGACACACAAAGACATGCAAAGACACACACGCACACATCACACACACACACACACGCAATCACACAAATACACAAGCACACACACACACACAAACCCACATTCGACAAGCACGCACACGCAAACTGACACAATCACAAAGAAACACACACACACACAGGCACACAAAGACGCACAAAGACACACACACACACAAACATACAGAGACACACACACACACAAACGCGCACACACACACACAAGGACACACACACACAGAGACACCAACACACAGGGAAGAAAACACACAAGCACGCACACACACACAAACACACAAGCGCACAAACACACAAGCAACCAAACACAACAACACACCATCGCAAACAGCCACACAAAGAGAACAACACAAGAAATTCATTAAACAAGAGATAAATAAGAAAGAAAAGACAGACAGAGAGACAAGAGACAGACAGACAGACAGAAAGAAAGACAGACAGACAGACAGACAGAAAGAAAGAAAGAAAGAAAGAAAGAAAGAAATAAGAAAGAAAGAAAGAAAGAAAGAAAGAACGAAAGAAAGAAATAACTAATCAATCAATCAATCAATCAATCAATCAATCAATCAATCAATTAATCAATCAATCAATCAATCAATCAATCAATCAATCAATCAATCACTCAATCACTCAATCACTCAATCACTCAGTCACTCAATCACTCAATCACTCAATCACTCAATCAACCAATCAATCAATCAATCAATCAATCAATCAATCAATCAATCAATCAATCAATCAATCAATCAATCAATCAATCAATCAATCAAAGAACCAAACAATCAAACAAACAAACAAACAAACAAACAAACAAACAAGTCCACCCCCAAATTTCTATCACAAACAAGCAAGCAAACAAACACACGTACACACACACACACACATTCGGATCCTCCCGAAGCTTCACTCTGGCGCCACATTTCGCTGGTTGGTGGCATGGTTCCTTTCTATTTTATTTGCGACATGCCATGATTTAAAATAGGGATTTGGACCCCGCAAATGGTGGTTCTCCTTTTGGCTCCCGTTTAATACAACCCCAAAAAGGGTACCCCCCAAGAAATACACCCCGCATCATGACCCCAACAAGCAATCACTTCACTTCAATATACATCCAGAATCAAGAACAAACTACTTGCCTTGCTTATGTCCGAATGTGATTCAAAACAAGATTTCACAATTCCATGTTTTACAACGGCACCTGACCACGCTGGTATGTGTCCAAACAAGGGTTTTGGTTTTCCTTTCAACCACCCCCTAGCTGGGTGCAGTTGGGTGAAAGTAGATGGCTTTTGGCTTAGTCATTCCCCCCGTTTACTTACCCAAATGAAGGGAATTGTGCCATCCACTTTCACCCTGGTCTACCCCACACACGCTCACCGTCTCCTTTTCCGAGAGGTGGGGCATCAGCATCAACAGCTCCGGTGACTCCCACCACTTCTCGCAGTTCACGCTGAGAAAGCGGTTTTTGATGGATAGCTCCTCGGTTGGCAGGAAAGAAGGGCCCAGCTCAGACCAGGGGCTCTAGGCGGACATTTTTTTTGGGGGGGTTTTCGTGTTTCATGTTTTTTTTCTTGCCGCGGAGGGCGACTTAAAAGTGTCTCCTCCTTTTTGGGTGTTGTTGTTTTTTCGGGTCGAGGGCTTGGCGCGCCGGGTTTTTTGGAGCTCAGGCTTGGCAAACCGGCAAGGCTAGGCCCAAATGGCTATGGCGAACTTGAAGAGTTGGAACCAAGCCACAAGTTCAGGTTACCCTGAATTGGTGGTTTGGATTGCTGGTTTGGGGGATTGAACCCCTTGGTTCTGGTAGAGGGTTGATGGGAACACCCCGAAACACCGCCAAGACACCAATTTAGAGGAAGCTGACAAGTCGTTGACATTAAATCCCCGCCCTCCTCTGACGTCCGCCAAGGGGTCCAACCACTGAAAAAGCGCCCAAATCGAGCACTTCCCTAGAATTGTGTGTGTTCCAGGAAGAAAACCTCCGCTTCAACACGACTTGCCCCCTCAGGTCCTTTTCACCAGGCAGAAGGTGGTTTTCCGACTTGAGGTTACGACGCCTGCTTCTGGCTGGCGGACATGTACGAGTCCTACGCCCTCTTCGTCTTCGGCCTCATCGTGCTGGAGTACCTGCGGCAACGCCTGAACACCCGCGCCCCGGCGGAAGCCGCTCGAGAAACGGCTCGAGAGGCGCCTCCCTTTTTTGGGGCCATATAGGTGGCCCCTTTTGATCCGGTTGCCCTCCCGCCAGCGATTCCGTGGAAGTTTTCACGGACCCCTGTAGAAAGACGACTTTTTCCTCTGGAAAGGGCCGTTTTGCACAAACCCATGGTTAGTTGGGAGGGTAGTTTGGCTAAAAATCGATGGGTTCCACTAGTTTGGATGGGTTTTATGCCCCATTTGCCGGGGCCGTCGAGTTTGTCACATCTAGTGATGTTTGGATGGAAAAATGTCCACGGCGCCCCAGTTGGCTAACCTTTTGCCATGAGACTCGAGGGCTAAAGGCAAACCACAGTTGGAAACCAGCGAACCAACATACGGCTCGAGACGCACCCATAGCACTTCCGCACAAATCATGGTCACAGCCACTTTTGGCTTCTTAGGCTCCTAGATTTTGAGACAAACCCCACTTTTGAGGCGGGGGCACTTCTTCCGCGCAAACAATCCTCCGGGGATCGCCGAGCCTCGTGACTGTCGCGTTATGTTTTTCGGGGAGTCCATTTGGATTTCGCGCGAACCAGACAGTGGAGCTGGAGTCAGTCCTGAAATTGCCTTTGGATGCCCTGGAAGCAGCTGCTGTCTTGTCCCTCGCTCGCAGTCCCTCCCCATTTCGAGCTGGGGGGAAGGGCGCCCCCCACGGTTGGCCTTTGCCGTTCGCCCAATGCAACCCTTCATATGTTTGGCCATGGGTCAAAAGCCCGGTTACCCCCCAGTGAACATCCCAATCCCACTAAAATAGGTTCTAAAATGGGTAACATGGGATCTGATTGGTTTTGACCCACTGCCATTTATGACCTTCTTTGGCATTTTCGGCCTTTGGTTGCGTCAGGGATCTATGTGGCGCACGACGCCATCAAGACCAACACCATCCCCAGAGCTTCCGACTCCTTCTCCGAGCTCACAGACTCTGTGAAGGTCCTGCTGAGTCAGACGAAAGGCGCGGCACTTTTCGCCGATGTGTGAGAAGAACGGCGGAAAAACGCACCCAAATGCCCGTATGTTGACTTCCATTTGGTTAAGTTGTTTTTTTTGTTTTCTTCCCCTGTTGGTTTTAAGGGAATCTATCACTACTGATGGTAGGGTTTTTGCTCTGAAACGATCTCTTTGCAAATGCTCGGGGGATTGTAGGAGGGCCTGGGATAGTAGGGGGTTAACCTCCCTCCAATCTTCAATCCTGGAAGTGGATAGGGTTGAAGACATCTTCACTGTACAAGACTGGGTTACTTTCACGGCCGTTGAGAAGGAGAGACGACCTCAAAGTGCGGCATCTGATTTCATCGATTTCTTCATCTAACTTCGATACGTTGTTGCCAATGGAAGTGGACAGAAGGCTTCATGGAAGCAACTAACGCCGTCAAACGATGCGGACATCTTGGCGCTCATCGGGAGGTTGAGAGACTCCGTATTCATCATGCCTGTTGATCAGCCCGGATAGGCCGCGACATATCTCCGCTACCTCTGAGACTGGAAATGGGTGGCCTAAAAGGGGCCGGCATGTCCCAGCAGCATCCCCGAAACAAACGTGGCGGATACGTGGGATTCTTTCCTCCAAACGACACTCGAGCCTCCCCAAGCCGCGTGAACAATTTCAAGCCTTAGCTGCCGGGTGTCACATAGAGTGTCAGGAAACCAATTGCAAGATGGACGATGGGTTATCAATCTTGGGTCAGCGTTACACTTTGTGAGGGGGACAAACCAGAATGGTCACACGCGAAACCAGGGCACTCACACAAGTCCCAATACTCATTGCCGGAGCAGCATGTTTTGAACATGGCTGGCTTGGGAAAGCTAGAGGCCCGCCCTGATTTTTGATGGGAATGTAGGTCTCGTCCATCGCGAGCCGCAGAATGACGGTCCAAAATTGACCGAACCACCGCGCCTGTCATTTCTAGGGCACCAGGCTGCTCTTCTTGCCTGGCCGAAAGCAGGGCGAAAGTAGATGGCGCAATTCCTGTTCTGTGGGTGTGCACGGGATGGCACTGGGCAAAACAAGGGGAGGTACACGCTAAGGGACAGATAGACTGGTCTAACCTTAAGAGGCAACTTCAACATAGGAAGCTGCCTCCAAGTCAGAGGTTGTGCCGTTGTCTTTCTACTTTAATCCTTCATTTTTTTCAAAAAACGAGGTTTCAACCTAAGTTGCGGAAAGGTGGGGTGCCGGCGTGCCGTGTGTTGTCGGGGTCGTCTCTTTCTGGGCTCTTGGGTCTGTCTTTGATTTTTCTTGCTGGTGCTCAGGGAATGTGGGAATGACCCCTTCCAACTGGTGGTTTCGTTTATTCAGGAATCCCCCAAACGTTTCATTCCATTTCTCATTCGCATCTCTCGCGCGAGCGCCAAAATTTGCGGTGCCCCGAATGAGCAAATCGCCGATCCCGCAGGCCTCACCATCCTGGGCATCAAGCTGTTCTGTGCCACCTGTGCTGG